CATCAGTATTGAACTCCTATTTTACGCTGGTATTCTGTGAGAGCGTAGTCATTCCTTGGTCGAACAACTCATAGTGTCATTCGTGCAACAACCACAATACAGTTGCAGCATGGTTCTACCACGTAAAAAATAATATTTTAAAATTATTTTTTTATTAATTTCATTCGGAACACCAATAGCTTTTATACATTCCAGTAATTACACATTTTTAAATCTACATTGCTAAAGGTATTCGCATATGAAACTATATCCGCATACACGCACTTGAGCAGCGCTCGACCTTCCGAGAAGAATTAGAGGAGCCTTGTGCCCAGCGGTGGTACGTCTACAGGCTTTAACTTTACTTTACTTTTCTAATGACAGGAAAAACTTCTGGCAGCAGTGGAATTTTAAGAGATATGACAGTAGAATTATTATATTTACGCGTAAAATCTTACCGATGACACACTGGAAGTGATCAAAATAATTAATTTTAAAAACCAGCAGCCGTTGCTTCGAGCCATGCTTAGTTAACTCTGAGGTAACAAAACATGACGAAAAATGCAGTGCTAACGACCAATTAGGACTAATAGTCGACAAAAGTAAATTGCGTTTGAAAACTACGACATCAATAAAATATAATCTAGACTCAGAATATTTCAATATACAAAATTACTGATACGTGTGGCGACGTAAAGCAATCACTTCGACTTTTGAATTAAAAAAAAAAGATTATTGTAAAGAACGTATTAATTACGCATTATATTAAAGAACCAGCCATCCGTCCTGGATTCGGTGATTTCTGGATCTTGACAACACACAAACACACACACAAAAAATATCATCAAAATCAGTCCAGCCATTTTAGAGTTTTAGCGAGACTAACGGACAGAAATTGATTTTTTAACGATGACTAGTCAATGTTTTCAAATCGATTTGTTTATATGTAATTGACCCGTCTGACAAGCTTAGCAACTGCAAAATTTCCCCATGAAGCAATCTATGGGGGAGGCCTATATTCAGCAGTGGACTTTTATAGGCCGTAATGGATGAATGGACGCGATATACATTTAATATTAACTTATATACCATACTTAAATCAAATAAATAAATTTATAAATAAATATGGGTGTTGTAAGAGACAACTACGATACATATCACAAAGATCTTATGGCCTTTGAGAAATACAATCAAGTTATAACCAAGTCGTATATACAAAACTGGCTGGATGGTGACCACTTGCTTGACGTGACGAGCAAACCTTTCAGGATTTAGCTATAATCGATAAATAGAATGAGATCCTATCATCTTTGTGAGTGTTCTTAGACAGGAAAGTGTCTACCACGATGTAAGTTTGCGGACTTCACATATCTTTAACACGTGGTAGACCCATGCTGCAGCTATGTATATTATGACTGTTGCACAAATGGGTTGATTCGACCTCAATGCTGCTGTGGTTCGTATGGTGAGTGTAGAGAACCGGAGACCCTTTTTACTGGAAACGAGGCATTCCGTTTTAGTCCTCAGGGGTGACAACACATCTGTACTTTGATTCTTAATCGAGGAAAAATGTAGATATGTCTATGGGCTACAGCATCCACTTAACATCACGTGAACTGTTTGATTGTTAGTCACCCTTATTATATAAAAAAAATATTGTTACGGCCTACGGCTGCTCCCTTAAAGGATCAAATCCTCTGGGGCCCATGAGCAGAAGACTTCCCGAGCAGACGTAGGTCGGGCCTCAATGTGGCCACGTGGAATTTCTCTAATTACACTAAACTATATGGGGGAGCGTTCTATACTACGGCCAGTCGACCGGGAGGATATTAGACGGAGCTTACTCACCTATATCCAAGGCGACTGGTCCCTCCGGAGTCGGTCAGGTCGCATGTGGTTGTGTAGTGCAAGGGAAATAAGGTGATGTGATGTGTATCTGGGTGTGACTGATGGTGATTGACCCTAGACCTTGGCCGTCGGCAGCAGCTCGGGCGTCGACACCGCTCCAAATTGAGGGAACCTTCCACGGCGTTGTCCACAGTCACTTTCCTCGTTCGTCACGATGACAGTTATTACAAGATATATAAGATTAACTCTATCGTACGATTAACTAACCTACAGAAGCCACTAACTCTCGTTGGGTATAAGGTTAACGCACAAAACGGACACGGAGTTTCCGGATCAAAGTTCACTACCGTTTCGCGTAGCAACAGTTATTTCTAGAATATCCTAATTATTCCGAGTTCCCGACAAAATTACAGCGTGCTAACGTTAGCACCGCTTACAGACGACTCCTGCGCGTTTTTGGGAACAAATATATTCAAAATGTTTTTTTTTATTTCTTAGACATGCAGGTTTCTTCACAATGTTTTATTATATCACCGAGTACGTAATAAATCAACACTTAAAATTATAATTAACAATTTGACCGGCCGGGAATCGAACCCAGGCTGCTCGCATAACGTGATATGTATGGTGATTGGTGAGCGCTTAGTCCTACCATGGCCGCAAACCCACATTACTAGATTAGAAATTGGCACCGATCCACCGGACCACAGACACCTACATCTATCCTCGATCAAGAATCAAAATCTAGATGCGTTTTCATCACCTAATATGGAATTACTCGGTACTAATAAAAAGGGTCTCTAATGTTATCAGTGATTGTTACATAATTTCTAACATGAATCGTTATAAATAATAGTAGTATAATTATCGTTTTAGTTTTATAATATTATTTTTTAATTATCAAATATAAAATAGATTAGAAGTCACTGTATTGTCATAATAATTATCATTGATAATTTTCTTTTTATTTCTAATTTACAATTTGAGATATTTACTAAGAATGTTACAAAAGTAATTAATTCACTCATCAGTAATATTTATAACAGTGTTTAAAATATTTTCATATTATAAAAGTATCTGAATTGTATAATTGTTGCACATTCAAACTGTTGCTAAGTTCAGTTTTGATAGGTAACTAGTAAGTATAAGCTGCCACCATTGTGCGATATTATAAAAACGATTGCAATAATTATTGAATGACTATTCGTGTTGTGAACTAGTAAAGCAAACAACAAGTAGTAGATACCACCATTAGTTAGTTAGTAGTATTAAGTAGATACCACCATTTTTCTAGGAATCACACTAGACGCGAAGCTTCAATGGAGCCGCCATATATCAAAACTAGTAAGCAGACTTAGTTCTGCAGCATATGCTGTAAAAAAGATTAGAAGTCTTACCAGTGTTGAGACAGCTACTTTAGCTATGTATTTCCATAGCATAATGTCGTAAGGTATTTTACTACGGCGACACGCAGCTGACACTGAATTTTTTTATAGAAGAGTTTATTTATATATATATATATATATATATATATATATATATATATATAAGCGTGTATATAAGTAAGCGTAAGCGTTACCCTTCCTGCGACTCCTGTAATACTAAAAACAAGAAAGGAATAGCCTGGTCAGAAGGCTATAGAGCCAGTAAAGTTAAAGGCTGTGAGGCTTCCATCCATGATTCCATCTTAGTTCTCAGAGGTGAAAACGCATCCGTAGCGTTCTTTGTTTGAAACTGGTTACATATTATGTCCATGGGCAGCAGTAGCCGTTTACCATCAGTTGGCCTGTTAGTTCGTTTGTCTCTTCAACTTTATTTAAAAAAAGCTGTATATTTTTTGTGTAACATTATATAAATAACAAACAATCTTTAAACTTGTCGGTAGGCACGAGTTTTGTACTACCAAATTAATGTATGCTTTCGATCATAAGTTTTTGTAATCCTTTAAGTCGGACAACCAATCGTCCAGATATTTGTCTGGAGAAATTATAGAAATTACAAATAATTTTCTATTAAGTGATTTTGTTTTGCGCAATTTGTGACTTAAATATAAAGTATATTATTTTTTTTATAGGATGATGGTGACAAACGAGCACACAGTCCACCTGATTATAAGTGGTTGCTGTGGTCCATAGACTACATCTATCCTCGATTACGAATCAAAGTTCCTCGATTACAAATCAGATACGTTGTCACCCGTGAGGACTAAGATGGAATGCCTCGTTTCCAGTAACAAGGGTCTTCGGTTCTTTGCACTCACCATACGAAACACAGCAGCGTTAAGCTGCTATTTCACGCTGGTATTCTGTGAAAGCGTGGTCCTTCCCCGGTCGAGCCGATCCATTCGTGCTACAACTATACCAGTAATATTGGTTATTTGGTTTTTAATTAGGTAAATTAAAATTTGTGTATACAAGGTATAGATCATTAACTACCTGTCAATAAATAATTCCATCAATTTTACAAAATCATTGAATTAACAAACCCCAAAATAAGATAAGTTTAAGATTATTTTAAAAAATGAAATCCACATTTTAATAAAAATTCATTGTCACTTGAAGCGACGTAAGAAGCCAACAAGTAATAACAAATAGCCTATATTCGGTTATTACGGACCATGTAATTGTGCCAAGGAAGAAAACTTGTTCCGTAGTTCCGTGCTATTGATCGTCTCTCCGCGCAACATTCCCGCGCCGCAGAGGGCTTGGAGGTCCTCCCACAAGCGGATTCTGTTCCGAGCAAGCATTGTATAAAATAAAAACCATTTTAAAATGGTAAAAACCGACAAAAACACCGCGAGTACCATTTAAGAAATATAAAATCAGTGTTTCAAGTGCCACCATACCGATAATTCAGAACCGTGACACGGAAATGAGTGAAATAAATTTACACAAAAATGGCTGACTTGAATAAGAAGCCCATTTAAACAATAATGTAACACCATTTTATATGGTACTAGTGAGACAAGTCTTCCAAATTAGGTTTAATAAAATTGTTATAGCTTATGTAGGTAAAAATGTTATACGTTTTAAAATCAATGTCTTCCAGTTGAGTCAATTTTGAAACTTTAAGAGCGCTTCTTTGGTAATGTTCTTACATCAATAAAGAGGAGGAGAATATAGAGTATTAGAATATTGAATTCAAAAATATAAGAAGAAAACAAAAAATCAAAAATGATGAACTTGGGTCGTATTCGGATGCCCCCTTTGAAAAATGTGCTGGACGTAGCCATGCAAACCGTCAGACAACAAATTCCTGATAAAACAGGGCAATCATCATCGCGTCCACCACAAAATGTGAGATTCGCGAACCTCGGTAAGTACAAACACCTTTTTATTCTCAGATAATACGTTGTTAAGAAGCTGTATAATTATTAACTATGCGACAGAATGTTGAAAATATCCCCCAAAAATCGTGGACCCTAGATTCAAAACTCAAAGAATATCCGTAAGTTTAAATTTCTTCCCGTAATTGTCAAAATAGCAGACGTTATCAATAGAAGTACCCTTTTTCCGATCGTATCGATTTACTTTCACTGCAACTAATTAGAGAACGTGAATCTCTAATATTATAACACTAAAATTTAGAGACTATTGAAATTAAGATTGTAGTTAAAAAAAAATTGTATCGAACAATATTCATATACCTTTTTTTAAATTGAGAAAACTTAAAAATACTAAGAGCCATGCACTCTTACATACTTACGGAAATCTATTAACATAACAATTAAAGACTTGATCGTCATCATCATCCTAGCTTATCAAAAGTACATGAATATAGACCCTGATTACTTCATAGGGCCTTCTTCATAGATCATCATCTGCCATAGGTACCATGCTTAACGCGAGGGTTGGCAACCGCTGTTTTTTATTTTTTTTTTTTTAAATTGTTATCAGGCAAATGCTTCTACCCATCTGTTTTATTTCCCTTATTCACCTGTTACGACACCACCGAATTATATGGGTCATTCTCCACCACTACACGGATTAAAAAAAATAAAACCTCTAGAAAGACACAATTTTAAACATATTTTATTAATAAATTACTTGACAGACGATAAATTAAATGTGTCATTATTAATATTTTAATGATTACAATTTACACACAACAGACATGGGAGAAAGTTGCGAGCTATCTACAATGAACGAAACTACGTCACCAACATACCAGTCTACCAATCCTACCAATCCATTCTTGAGTGGCCAGCTACAGGCTGAGGATTCCTTCACCAGCTACCAAAATACTTATCCCCAGCAAGATGGTGCTCCACGGTAAACCTTACTTTTACGAATTTGCAGAATACATAATAAATTATGCAAGCAAATGCAAACGTAGCCAATGTAGTAAATTTTAAAAGCTTAATAAAATATTATCATCATCATTACAGCCCTTCACAAGTCCACTTCTGAACATAGGCCTCCCCCAAGGAATGCCACAAAGCACGGTCCTGAGCCACCTGAATCCATCGACTTCCTGCATGTAATAAAATATAGTAAAATATAATTCAACGGCCACGTAGTTAACATTTGCGATTGATCCCGTGTCTCTGACACTGCATTCATGGCTTCCTCTAGTGTTACTGCGTGTAAGCGTTACATCCTTGTATATGTAGAGGTCAGTGGTTACATCAGATACGACTAAATCAGAAATAATGAGTGACCTTTGTAGTCGCATGATTACTTTTAGCACTATAATATGTGCACTCATTAGATCTTATCAAAAGTCAACTACTGAACATCGACCTCCCTAACAGAATACCTTTACGATCTTCAGTATGATACAATTTGTTCGGCATTATTTTTAGTTGTGTATAATGTAAATGTATAATGTAATATGTCACCGTGGTCAAGCTTAATTGGAAATTACGCAGGATCTTCAATCAATATAATTATAACTTTTTACATGTTTATGAATTTTATAAGTTCCTTGATAGTCTTGTAATGTGTCGTTTTTACTACTTGTATTTTAGCTAAGATCTGCCAAAAAATTTAAAGAATTAAAACAATTTAACTCAAACATTTGAAGCGATACGAATTTTTAAAAAGATCTCCTGACTGTCATTACCACTAATATCACTATTGCAATATACCATGTATAAAAAAAAACTACATAAAATACCCAAGCTCTAAAATATTCATTTTCAGAACACAGAGCATGCAAAGTGTTGATTTTTACGCTTCATCTGAAGAGGGAGGTTTTGAAGAGGGTGGGGGAAAACCAGGTGCCAAAATTAACGAATATCAAGCCGCCTGGAACGTCACCAATGCTATTCAGGTGAGATATTATAAAGTTTGTGCTACCTGCACTTTTTGTATTTGAATCAACTAATAATAATCGAATCTTTATCATACAGGGTATGTTCGTGGTGTCGCTTCCTTTTGCTGTACTTCAAGGAGGTTACTGGGCTATCGCTGCAATGATTGGTATTGCACATATCTGCTGCTACACTGGAAAGATCTTGGTAGAATGTCTCTATGAAGATGACCCCGTGACAGGGCAACGTGTCAGAGTTCGTGATTCTTACGTCTCTATCGCTAAAGAATGTTTTGGTAGAAAGTACGGAGCTAGAATTGTTAACATGGCTCAAATTATCGAACTACTCATGACTTGCATTCTATACGTTGTTGTCTGTGGCGATCTTATGATAGGTACGTTTCCTGATGGTTCCATCGACACTCGCTCCTGGATGATGTTGACTGGTATCTTTCTTCTTCCACTTGGCTTCCTCAAATCTCTAAAAAGCGTCAGCATGTTATCGTTTTGGTGTACCATGAGTCATTTGATCATAAACGCCATTGTACTCGGCTATTGCATTCTTTATATTGGGGATTGGGGTTGGTCGAAAGTGAAATGGAGTTTGGATTTCGAGAATTTTCCTATCAGTTTAGGTGTCATTGTTTTCTCTTACACGTCTCAAATATTTTTGCCTACCTTAGAAGGCAACATGGAGGATCGATCCAAATTTGAATGGATGTTAAACTGGTCGCATATAGCAGCTGCTGCTTTTAAATCTATTTTTGGATATTTATGCTTTTTGACTTTTCAAAACGATACCCAGCAAGTAATAACAAACAATCTTCACTCGGCTGGATTCAAGGGACTGGTTAACTTCTTTCTTGTAACTAAGGCTGTACTTAGTTACCCCCTACCATATTATGCTGCATGTGATTTGCTCGAGCGTGCACTATTCCGGGGAAAGCCTAAAACTCTTTTTCCACCTATTTATGCTTTGGATGGTGAGTTGAAAGTCTGGGGCCTAGCTTGGCGTTTGGGCGTTATTATGTTTACTGTACTGATGGCGATTTTCATTCCCCATTTTGCCATACTAATGGGATTTATCGGTAGTTTTACGGGGACAATGCTGAGTTTCATTTGGCCCGCATATTTCCATCTAAGACTTAAAGGCAATCAACTTGAAAGTACTACGATTGCGTATGACTATTTTATAATTGGTTTAGGAGTGTTGTTTGGTATAATTGGAATGTACGATTCAGGTTCGGCTCTTGTAAAAGCGTTCAAGATAGGTTTGCCGTTTTAATTTCACGTAGTTTTAGGTCGTTGTTGAACTATTTCTAGAAATATGCAAATTTTATTTTAAAGCGGCATTGACATTGCGAGAAGTGTTACAGTCTAATCATCTAGTCCGATGTGATTTGATATTTTATATCTTAGATTTGTTTAGGGGTTAAGAAAACAATAATTAATGTTGGTATTCGAAACATATGTCTTCCATTACATAGTTCTATGTATATAAACATGTAAATTAGAGTTATTATATACACTAAATTATACAAAATAATCCAATGTCTTCCATAATATCGGTGTCATAATTGACCTTCGACAACGAAGTCTTCCAGTTTATGAAATATATATAATATATAATGGTTAATGAAATTGATATTGTATTACACATTTATAGATGTAACCTATAAAATACTCGCATCACGTACGTACATTAGTTGTTTATATATAATTTAGTTTTGTGTCATAAGCCTTTTAATGATTTTGGTATTTTAATAGATACATAAATCAACCTAAACATGTTAATATTTTAAATAGAAAATTTATTTATTTAATTTACCTACTAAGCTTTATTATATACACATTATGTAAGCCAAATTCTTATTTTCTGGTTTCAAAATATTACTAAAAAAAATTACTTCATTTTTTTAATAGTGTTCTTAGAAAAATCATTTTGACACGATATTTTTTATAGTGTGTAGCTTCAGGCCGTGCATGCCCAGTATCACTGTGATCAGTGCGATGAGCTATGCAATTATAATTATAGATGAGATTCCCGTCGTTTTCAAGCTCTAATTTCACTATTAATCACTTACCATCACGCGAGCCGCATGCTCGTTGGCCTCCTATTGTATAAAGAAAAGCTTAAAGTATATTTACTGGACGATGTTTGACACATTACATTCCTATTTAATGTCGATCCACTTGGCTTATTTATAAACATATCTGCGTAATATACGGTTAGAGCTGCGGTTTAAACTTCTATGCAATACTCTTTTTTCCGACGAAAATGCGTAACTCGTATACATGATAAGGTAAGGGGAAACAAAGACGAAAAGTTGCAGCACAAAAATAACGCAATAAACTTCTAACCCCAAGTTATTGCCATGATCAAAATTAAATATTAGATATATATATAATATATCTCTTGTTCTGCACTGAACTATCCAAGAGTTTTTATTTCGCTAGATATTTAAACTAAATCTACATGTGTGTTTAAATTGTGTCAATAAACATAAACGTTTAACATTATGTATTCAAATTTACACCGTAAAAATAACAGTACCTATATATAATCCTTAATTTTGGAGAAATCTAAAGTAGATATTATATTATGAAAATATTTCAGAATTTTTATAGTAATTTACTTATATAAGTTTGTTATATACTTCATAGCTTTTAAGTTATCTCGAGTGTTTTCAAATACATTATATAGATTATTTTTTATTCAAATTTGTTAACTAAAATATGATTTAAAAATGTCTTCCATGTCTAATAAGCTAACATATTGTTGTTGATCATATCATAGAATAATTCATAGATTTTAAATTATGTAAATTACACTATAATAGTATAGAAAGAAATTAAATCGTTTATGCCAGACTACATATTCCCAAATTTTAAAATAAAACACGAATGGTTTAAGGTGTATAGACGGTACGTCATTTTACTTTTTTCATATATATACTATCATATATAAATCGCTTATCTCCTGTTTCAGTTTTCTTCTAAAAAAGTGGATAGTAAAAAATCGCCCAAGTGCGAATCGGACTCGCGCATGAAGGGTTCCGTACCATCGTTAAACACGTTTCTAGTAGGGGAGCCCCCTTTAATTTTTAATTTATTTTTATTTTTTTATATTTTGTTATAGCGGCATCATATATATACATTCTTTAAAAATTTCAACTGTCTTCCTAATACGGATCATGAGATACAGCCTACTGACAGACAGACGGACGGACAGCGGAGGCTTAGTAATAGGGTCCCGTTGGTTACCTTTCGGATACGGAACCCTAAAAAGTGCGGTTGCCAGCTCGCCTGCCAAACGAGGCAACTATGGACAGTATCCCTGCGATCTCGCAATCTGTAGAAGAGGCCTATGATCAGCAGGGAACTTTTCATAGGTTATACCTAATTAATAATTTGAAGTAAAAACTAAAATAGAATTGGGGGGTGACTCAAACTTTAGGCCTAGTCAGTTTGAATAGCCTATCATGTAGAGGATGTCATGGGGATCACGGTTGAATAGGGGCAAAGAGTTCTCACACTCCTAGCGGGTCGAAATGGCCAAACATCAAAAAAAATTAAATTCTAACTCCGCCCCCTTCGGAGGTTCTTACACAGTCTTTACTTCCCGCATCCCACTTGTTAATAACTAAATGAAGAGGTTCTGATTGTTGTTTGCAATTACTAAGCCAATATTAAACGAAATATTTTTTATAAATAAAATAAAAATAGGAACAATAGTTATCAGTATCTGAATCCAAGGACTTAATTTTGTCACCTTCATTCTGTACTCGAGTTAAATTTAAAACTAATTTCGAAATTTAAGTGCAGTAATATTTTCCTTTGCCACTTCGTATATTCTCAATAAAATTATCTCACATTTAATAAAATATTGGTAATAATCAATTAATAAGAGGAAGCGTCTATTCATAAGATAATCGAACGATACATTTTTTCTTATTGATATCATTATCGTATGATTTATTTACTTCTATACGTCCGATATATTATAAATATAATAAAAAATATTTTTAATAATTTTAGACAGTTATTGAGTAAAACAGTCAATTGTCTAAATTAATTTACTCGTATGATTAGGCTATTTGCGTCTAATAAAATATTACACCAATCTTGCAATATCAGTAACACTAGGCTAAGATGTGGCTAGGGTGGGCATAAAATATAATATTGAAAGAATTGAACTTTTTTATTTAAAAAATTATCGGACGAATCTGTATTTTTTATTTATAATACCTACGATTATTGTATGAATAATTATTTTTTATTATCGTATGACTAATCATTTTTCAGTTGCTAATAACAGCCTTAATAAAATCTGAGACTTATACGTCCCATGTTTATGTGGGACTGATAAAAAAAATATGAGCAAACATTTAAAAGGCGCAAAAATAGGCGCAGGGCAAGATTGTGCAGGCGATTGGCTAGCCACCTATCACTTCTTTCACAGTTTTCCCATATTTTTAGCTAAACGTAGCCCAAGTGGCTCCCTGCTAATTATTTTGGACTCTGCCTACAACCTACCCTCTGGGATGACAGGCGTGACAAATCCCAGAGCAAAATTACTATCAGTGTTCTGTATGAAATCACTCATAATCGAACATTCACACACATTTAACAGAAAGAAGATTTCCCATTTTTACTCCATGTTCTGTACTGTACACCTTATGCTATTAGGAAAATTATGGCTTCCAATATAGACAGTAAAATTTCAAATGCAAACAAACGACACCCTGTTTTGTTACGTAGTGCTTGTATTTGAGGGATATTTTAGAGGTGTATCCAAACGCAATAATGTTTTATAAAATATAATAAATACGCATGTATTGTGATGAAATGGACAATTCTAAGTGTGTATTTTAATGAATATAAAATATTATTCGAAATTTGTTGTTTCATTGCAAAAATGTAAACTGTAAAAAAATTTTAAGATAGAAGTTTTATTATAATCCTATGTGAACAACGCCTCATTAATAGATCTTCTATGAATGTGGCGTTGTCTAGATTTTCACCGTGTAGTGGCGGTGTAAGAAATTTCCACTACCCAATATCATCCCGTGGATGTCGTAAGAGGTGACAGAAGGAAACAAATCAAGAGATGGGCAGCGTCTTCCTAATAACGACTACAATAAATATGTGCGGTTGCTAACCTACCAGGAGCACATGACCCACTGAGAGGTGAAATTTTCAAATCAACAGTAACATTACAACTATGACAAATATCACCTCTATGAGACAATCTATGGGGAGGCCTATGTTCAGCAGTGGACTAGGCTGTAATAATGGATGGATGTATAGAAGATAATCAACCAGGAGCACATGACCCACTGTTAGGTGAAATGTTCAAATCAACAGTAAACATTACAACTATGATAAATATCACCTTTATGAGACAATCTGTGGAGAGGCCTATGTTCAGCAGTGGACTAGGCTGTAATAATGGATGGATGTATAGAAGATAATCAACCAAGAGCACATGACCCACTGTGAGGTGAAATGTTCAAATCAACAGTAAACATTACAACTATGACAAATATCACCTCTATGAGACAATCTATGGGGAGGCCTATGTTCAGCAGTGGACTAGGCTGTAATAATGGATGGATATATAGAAGATAATCAACCAGGAGCACATGACCCACTGTGAGGTGAAATGTTCAAATCAACAGTAAACATTACAACTATGACAAATATCACCTCTATGAGACAATCTATGGGGAGGCCTATGTTCAGCAGTGGACTAGGCTGTAATAATGGATGGATGTATAGAAGATAATCAACTAGGAGCACATGACCCACTGTGAGGTGAAATGTTCAAATCAACAGTAACATTACAACTATGACAAATATCACCTTTATGAGACAATCTATGGGGAGGCCTATGTTCAGCAGTGGACTAGGCTGTAAAAATGGATGGATGTATAGAAGATAATCAACCAGGAGCACATGACGCACTGTGAGGCGAAATGTTAAAATCAACAGTAAACATTACAACTATGACAAATATCACCTCTATGAGACAATCTATGGGGGGGCCTATGTTCAGCAGTGGACTAGGCTGTAATAATGGATGGATGTATAGAAGATAATCAACCAGGAGCACATGATCTACTGTGAGGTGAAATGTTCAAATCAACAGTAAACATTACAACTATGACAAATAATATGACCTCTATGAGACAATCTATGGGGAGGCCTATGTTCAGCAAGTGGACTAGGCTGTAATAATGGATGGATGTATAGAAGATAATCTACCAGGAGCACATGACCCAC